AGCAACACCCTAATGTGCAAAATGGGGGGAAATCAATTGACTTGACTGGAATAACAAGAACAATAATACAAACAATGACTTGTTTTTGCACTTTACAAAGTTCCCAAAAGTTTTGCATTTATTACAATGTGACAAATTCAAGATCCCTGTCAAATACTAGGTTATTAATGATGAGAAATAAAAATCTAAAACATCTAAAAATAATATGGGCACATTTATAAGATTTAATTGAATAGGCGAAGATAAGAGTTTATCTCTATTAGCTGCTCTGTGCTTTCATTAAATGTTTCTCTAGAGATAGGTAAATGGTTGTCCATTGATTTAATGGAAAGTCCTATTTGTTTACTTTAATGTATATTTTAAGATCATGTCCGATAACCCCAAAGCATGCTTATTGGTCAGTTCAGGTCAGTGTTTAATATGCCAATTAATTTTTTTCTTGCCGAATTATATTTTTTGGGATCTAACTTACAGCCATTTTCATGGAAGTGTAATTAATTAAGATTAAATGGACTTCCATGTATTTTCATGGAAAAACAAACATAAAATAGGATAAGAATTCAACACATTAATAAGGAAAACAACATTCAAGAGCTCGCAATGTTAGAAAATGTGACATCTCTATTGATTTATTACTATATTAGTATAATTTAGGCTATTTAACGTGAAAGATGTTAGGAAAAACATTTCACCAGTAGTGAAGTGCATAGGCAAAAAATTTGTCTGTTTTGGAAATTCAGACCAATGGCATTCAGCTTGGCACTTCCAAACTACCGAATTTCAGAACTTTCACAATTCGGAACCTTGGCAATTCAGATATTCGTAAGTTTCCGAATGTCCGAATTGCATGAAACAAATTGCACATGTCTAGTAAGTGGTTGTGGTGGCAGTCCGAGCACTGGAAGCCCTATAGATGTGTAAGTGGTTGTGGTGGCAATCCTGGGCAACCCTAACCCTAATTCCTAACCACTTACACATCTGTAGGGCTCCCAGTACCCGGACTGCAACCACAACGACTTACACATCTATAGGGCTCTCAGTGCCAGGAATTAGCTTATTGGTCATTTCTCTTATCATTCATGTAATTTTACCTCCCTCTCTCTTGTTTTGCCACTTTTCAGAGATCCAAAGTACTTAGGAACTTCGTCAGTTTGGTTTGGTTCGGCACTTCCGAAGTACTGAACTTTGGCACTTTGGAAATTCGGACATTCGTGAGCATCCAAATGTCTGAATTGCACGAAATTCGTCCGAATATACATTCGGAACGAAACGAATTGCACATGTCTATTCACCAGTATCTCCCCTTTAACTTTCTGGTTCTTTTGTTCCCAGTATAAAAACCCATTTTGTTTCAATTTTCTATAAATTTCATATGATATCACATTACACCTAATGTGCCAAACATCTTTAGAATTTGGACCTGTGGGCTTATTACCATTATATGTCGCAAAATGTCTGCATGCAATCTCTGAACTTAAAAAAAAAGATGTCTACATGGACTGCTTTTCTTGTCTTGTCTTTATTGAACATATATCCAAAAGGCACTGACAAGCCAGCAACCACATTTTCAATCGCCTTTTTATTTTACCGCGGTAGAGAATGGATGTAAATGTGACTTATTACAGCAGATGCATGTAGATGTGAGAAAGAGACAGACTGTGGCAGAATAGAATTACAATTTACTCCACAATGAACAGACGAAAGCTGAGCTTACATGATTGTGAGATCATAGAAGGCAAAGATAGCAAGCAAACCGAAACAAAATAGGATATACTCTAATGTGGCTATGTGGAGTAAGATTTGTCAAAGTTTCAACGGGCAGTTTTGTGCCTCTTTTTGGTATTTTTTGGTGCAATTTATTAAATCTGTAGTGTTTCTTCATTTGTCACTTGCTTTGCACCCTAACCATTATTTTTGAATGTATGTCTTTTTTTCCGACCAGACAACAGATTTACCAATCATTTCATAACTTTTTATGCCAGAAAAGTAATCTGTTTCACTTGGCAATGGGTAATGAGGCTGCAAATCTGCTTCAGTGAGTAGTGCTCTCTGTTTCGGGAGATCATCTGCTCTTCCTAGTCCCCAGGCGCACTAGGCAGCAGAATATAGTCGTGGTAAAATAAATAATCTTTTTTTAATTCTTGGATTTGTTAATCAGTAATCCTGAAGACAAGCGCATACAGTAATGTAGGCTTTGTAGCTGTTCACATGCAAAACTTTGCCATTTTCACCACTGACATTGACCTACAATATCATAATATAAAAAATGAAAATGGGCCATGGGGAAAAAAAAGACAAGCTTAATGTTAACCTTAAAGGAAAGAAATTATCAGTATGGCGTAAAATTAAAATACTGGCCATTTTGTCTGAAAGTGGGACAGGTCACACAATAGATTTTTTGCCACCTTATCTGTTGCATGGTATCATATTAAAATACATATAAGAATCACTAATGGACCATTTCATGAAATAGGACATCAATCTCCAATAAAGACAAATGAACATGTGAAGTAAATCACTGACAAATATTGGACCATGTGCACCCAGCCAAATATACAAGCTAGTTATTATTTTATAGTCGAGTTTCTTGATATACTGAGGCTCAGTTGATTATTGTTTCTTTTTTGATTTTAACAAATACCTTTTAGCCAATTATACTATTTGACCACATCATTTATCCGTCAATCTATTGAATTTATATATCCTATATAAGGAAGCGAAACACACAAGGTTAGTCACTAAAGTCCAAACAGCCCTGAACTGAATGGGGTAAAACCATCTGGCTGCATACAGGGCAGTTTTGACGGCAAAATCCGGACATTGTTGAAGGAATTTCTTAATGTCTGATTTTTGTAAATTAAGCCTTGAATGGACCTAAGTCTAGGCCTGGATTTAAAAAAAAAAAAAAGCAAATAAAAATCCTATGTGGGTAAGACCTCATATTATTAACCCCCAGTGGGCAGGTGGGGGCGTGTCTGCTAAAGATTTGAACAGTCTGTCCCATTTCACCCCTTCCCCCACTGTGTGACTCCCATACCACCAGGCTGCTCCCAACCCCATGGCACCATTGAATGGTTTCAATTGTAGGGATACACACCACTTCTCTATGGTGGTAATGTATGCTTCAGGACTTATCTATTTATAGTCTTTTCTAACACTTCCCTCCACTGGATCACTCTCCCTCCAGTCATGGTATGCCCCAGGTCTCTTTCCCAGTACTTAGTGAAATATGGAAATGAGTGATCTTCTAACTTGGCAATCAGAGTCCCGTATAGGAGTGAGTTGGCATCATAAGACGTTAGCTGCCTGTTGGCGGTTTCTAGATTAGGTATACTTTTAATGAAATGTACCATGTGATGGCGTTGAAATGGGAGTAGTTGGTTCTGAGTTAGCAATGGAGTAATGTCGGTCAAGGAAGAATAGTGCCATTAATGTAAATATCTTTGCTTTTGTAAAATATCCGTATAATAAATCATAAATTGAGCAGTCGCACCCTGTTTGAGCTTGAAGAGAAATCTGCAAATCAAATTTTACTGTACTTTCAACTCAATAATCTTGATCGGGAAGTTACTAACACTTTACTAAAGCTGGGGAGATCAGTATAGACCTCTTGTTCGGCTGCACAGACTTCTGTGACAACGGTCCTGAGGCCTACCGACGGGCAACCTGGAGGTAGAGAGGAGAAGCGGCCGATCTCTTGGTCTCCTGCCTGCCTGGACACAGAACAGTGGCGGTCGAGTCCCTTCCCCCCCCCCACCGGTGAGGGTCATCCCGGCACCTAGCAGCACCCTTGGGTCCCGTGGAAGCAAATGCAGAAGTATGACCACGAGGGTTTCACCACCTAAAATGGCGGCTGCCTTGTGTATCTTGAGCACACCACTACCTACTATATCTAGACTGGATAGCATCTTTGCAACATTCTGGGCCATGCTTGCCAGCAGGATGCGCAGTGATGCACACAAGATGACAGCTGCTGCCTTAAATCAACAACCGCATTGGGTTTGTGCTCGTGGTACAGTGGGGAGTTCATTAGTGGAGAAGGGCCCAGAACCAAAACAGAGACCTACATGATCAACTGTCATTGTGCCTCGCTCTCGCCTAATTCGGAGGCCACGGCTCAAGGCGCACTATCACGGAAGTGCCCGCAGTGGAGCGCACTCCATGCCACAAAGGTACCGAAACTATCCCGAAGGAGCTGACCACCATCAGTTGTGAGACAAAGAGCAGATAGAGGGCCTAGCGGTTCGTGGACCGAAAAATTGCGGGCCGGAGTTTGCTATGTGGGACTGTGCCTTACCTACAGAAGGTGTTGGCTAAATTTACCATGGGGCCTCGGGCCACTGTCCTGGACATTGCTTACCTACCTGGGGGTACTACTTGCATACATACTTTGGGTGGCTACTTACTCCCCACCCTCTATACTTTAAATAATGGGACCCACTAGGTTTTTCATTTTTGTTACATCTTACTTTTATTATCCATAATTATATTGACAAGCAATCCTGCAATTAGTTCTCTCACCGCTCCTATGTCAGGGTGCACTGATTAATCCTGCATTTTTTTCTCTATATTCCATTTATGCTCATGCTGACACTGTTTTGCTGACCAGCTCCTGCAGGCATGGTATCCATCTTCTTTTCATGGTATCCATCTTCTTTTCCCCTTTTACAAAAAAGTGCAACAATCTAAACATGTCCTGTAGTCAGGGCCGGACTGGGGATACGAAGCAGCCCTGGAAAAAAATCTATGCCAGCCCCATAAGTCATTGTGCTATGTAGGAGGGTATATATATATATATATATATATAGGCAATTGAAATAGTTGGCTGCACTCTCGGATTTCCTGAAAATGTAACTTTTATTGAAATATTTAAGAGAAGATCAATGTTTCAGTCCCTCTTGTGGACTTTCGTCAGGATCATGACAAAAGTCCACAAGAGGGACTGAAACGTTGATCTTCTCTTAAATATTTCAATAAAAGTTACATTTTCAGGAAATCCGAGAGTGCAGCCAACTATTTCAATTGCATATATATATATATATATATATATAGGCAATTGAAATAGTTGGCTGCACACTCATGCTTACTACAGACAAGCTCACTGTACACACATGCTCACCACAGACAGGCTCCGACACACCCATGCTCCTTACAGACAAGCTCACTAACACACACACACATATGATCCCTACAGACAAGCTCACTGACACACATACAAGCTCACTCACTAGCAGGCACACACACACACACACAGGCTCCCTCACTAGCAGATGTGCGCACACACACACACAGAGGTAGACAGTCACTGACACCCAGGCAGACAGCCACACACACACAGGCAGACAGTCACTGACACCCAGGCAGACAGCCACACACACACAGGCAGACAGTCATTGACACCGAGGCAAACACCCACACATACAAAGACAGGCAGACAGCCACACACTCACACACAGGCAGACAGTCACACACACACACAGACAGTCACACACTCACAGACAGTCACACACTCACAGACAGTCACACACTCACAGGCAGTCACACACAGACAGTCACACACTCACACAGTCACACACTCACACAGTTACACACTTACACAGGCAGTCACACACAGACAGTCACACACTCACAGGCAGTCACACACTCACAGGCAGTCACACACTCACACAGAGACAGTCACACACTCACAGTCACACACTCACACAGACAGTCACACACTCACAGGCAGTCACACACTTACACAGGCAGTCACACACAGACCATCACACACAGACAGTCACACACTCACACAGGCAGTCGCACACTCACAGGCAGTCGCACACTCACAGGCAGTCACACACTCACAGACAGTCACACACTCACAGGCAGTCACACACTCACACAGGGACAGTCACACACTCACAGGCAGTCACACAGAGACAGTCACACACTCACAGTCACACACTCACACAGTCACACACTCACAGGCAGTCACACAGAGACAGTCACACACTCACAGGCAGTCACACAGAGACAGTCACACACACACAGAGACAGTCACACACTCACAGGCAGTCACACAGAGACAGTCACACACTCACAGGCAGACACACAGAGACAGTCACACACTCACACAGAGACAGTCACACACTCACATAGAGACAGAGACAGTCACACACAGATAGTCACACACTCACATAGAGACAGTCACACACAGACAGTCACACACTCACACTCACACACTGACCTCCTTCTTCCCTCCTGCTTGCAGCTCCTGGAGGCTGGTTGTTGGGGAAGCAGGGACTCCTACCTGCTTCCCATGCTGCAGTCAGCCAGGCCCCCGCCGCACGCTAAGCCCCGCCCCCGCCGCACGCTAAGCCCAGTTAGCCCCGCCCCCGTCGCACTAAGCTCCGCCCCCGCCTCAATTTTATTTTTTTTAATGATCCCGGCCGGCCGTGTGTGAGCTGTGCCGGCCGGCTCCCCCTGCTCCCATGGGGCTCTGTGCGGCCGGAGCTGTCAGCCCAATGATTAGGGCTGTCAGACCGGCCCCAGGTGCCGCGGCCCACCGGGAAATTTCCCGGTATCCCGGTGGGCCAGTCCGGCCCTGCCTGTAGTTAAGTTGCAACGCCTTGTGTAATCTATAATCTTGATGTGTCATTATTTACTTCACTGTTTATACAATGCACTACAAAAATAAAGAATATAAACTTTCCCTCCTCCCCCCCACTCCCCAAAACAAAACAGGTAGTCATTAATTGCAAGCCAGAATCAGGAAAGCAAAAGTGAAGCAAAAATAATAAAGCAAAGCCATGAACCAGGAACTCAGTAGTCAGGAGCACAATAAACAGGGGACCTTCATCCAGCCCCTTTACATTCTAGACAATCAGCAATGTATAACAAATCCCTCACAGACTCAATGGGTTAAAGTCAACCTTGTTGTCATGCCTATAGTTCCAATCTACTTAACTATGGTTTTAATTCTCAAATCCAAAAGGCATTCATGGTGCTTTTAATATTTCTCTAGTAGTGAACGTCTATTTGCCCATTCCAGTGATGTTATGGAGTTTTTCTGGGATTCCAGCTTGGGTTTCAGGATTAGCTGAAACTAGAGTGCTTTAAACCTCTTTAGAGGTCTAGGATTAGGTAGTGAGATCAGGACTAATACAGCCCTTCTGTGCAAAGTTAAATTAAACAGCAAGAATACTTGCTGCACATCGGTCACAGGTGTTTGGCAGAATACCAGAACATATAAGGGGAACCACTGGTTGGATTGCTAATGCAAATCTGTAGAAACATGAGAATTAGCTAAGTAATGCAGTATCTATTGCAACCACGTGATTTCATTAATGGACTATGGTTCTCGTTTTAATGTGTATCCTCAGCACGAATGTAAAGAAAGTGTAGAACCATTGGGCAAAGAAATATCCCTCTTTATATTTATATATTGCTTAGAGGTTACCATCAAATACATTTTACAACACACAGCTACACATGTCCATGAGACGTTTAATGATTCTAAACAGCTGATACAATTGATTGACAGTTATATAATATAAACTGGCTTAGGTTTCTAGATAGATTGGTGTTTAACCTCTTATGGAATTAAGTTTTACAGTGAAGGTGTTTTTTTTTTCTCCCTAAAAGTATGATTAACCTTCATTTTGTTCACTCATGCACAGTAAAATCAAATATATCAAATTCAGTTCACAAAGACAGGAATTATAACACAAAGAAAAAAATGCTGAAATGAATTATGTTTTATAACGTCAAAATATATGTAAAAAAAAGTGAGAGAGAATTCTTGCCTATAAAGGGCACAAGATGGCTAAGCCTGCATTATCACATGCCAGCCAAGGTCGTAAACACTTAATAATAAAAGAAAAAAAAATAATCAAAGCCAGCAGATATGGAGGAGTAGGAAAGGGTCTGCTTATCCACACATGATTGACTGCTCAGACGCTTGATGTTGTTAGCAAGAAGGAACAGAAGCTTTGCTTTAGATTAGGCAGAATACTTGAAGATATAAAGTGACTGTTGTTGAGAACACTGTGCACTCTTTGAGTCTGCTCTTCCATAAATGCATAACCTTTTGATTGTTAATCTTTGCAGTTATAAAAAAAAAAAACCACAACGACTGTTTTGCCTGCTATTTACACAGTTCTATGAAGAACTACATCTCTTAACATAAAGCATGATGTTACAATAACATTTGGTATACTGAAGTTTTATCAATAGGCTTCCTTTAATCACACTTATATTTGCCACTGCAGAAATAATTATTATAATTAGTATTGTTCACTAGACTGGGGAATGAGGGTAATTGAGAATATCAAATTCAAATTCTACTCCGAATTAGTTAATCTGGAAAAAATCTTCAACTAAACTATTTTCCTAATTTATCTGTTTATGGACAAAAAGGTATCATTTCCCTTGCACATTCTTCACAATTTCCAGTTTAATAAATGACCCTGAAGTTAGTAAAATCTGTTTTTCTACCATTATCAGGGCCGGGTTTGCAATAAGGCCACGGACTCGGGGTGGCAGGCAAGTGAGGGGCAGCATGGCCAGAGGGGAAATCAAAGATATTCCTGACTGGCCAGCTGGTTCTCCTGTCGTGTGTCCTGGTAAACTGACAGGGCTGGTGCTCAATACTGTATCACAGCAGAAGTGGTGCAGAAAGTAACATCTTCCACCTCCCTCTCTGTCCCAAAGTAAGCATCAGAGGGGGGAGAAGTATTTTTTCTATGCAGCTCCTCTAAATCTTTCCCTTACTACAGCCCCTATCCCCCCACCTCAGCCCCAACCCATTATCACATCCACTACCCATCCCGTGTATCCCCCACTGCCAATATCCACCCATCACAGCTCCTATCCACCACAGCCCCTATTCCCCACATGACAGCCCTTGTCATCCCACTATACCCCCTATTCTCCCGGCGTGGCCCCTGTCACTCCAACCCCATCCCAGGCCCTGTCCCACCCACCACATTCCTTGTCTTCCCACCACTGCCCTTAATTCTCACTACAGCCACTATCTCCCCACTACAGCCACTATACTCCTTTTTCCCCAACCACAGCCCCTTCTCCCTCTTAACACACATATAGCATACACTGTCTCCTCCAACATGCACAACAGTCCCTATCACCCCAAAATGCACATTACAGCCCCTATTCCTTACTCAACAGACCTGATCTCCCCACAAATTGTCTACAACCCCAATTTCCCAGCACACACACAACAACCTAAATTTCCCCACACTCTGAAGCCCCATTTTTCTTCCCATAACACACACTACAGGGAGTGCAGAATTATTAGGCAAATGAGTATTTTGACCACATCATCCTCTTTATGCATGTTGTCTTACTCCAAGCTGTATAGGCTCGAAAGCCTACTACCAATTAAGCATATTAGGTGATGTGCATCTCTGTAATGAGAATGGGTGTGGTCTAATGACATCAACACCCTATATCAGGTGTGCATAATTATTAGGCAACTTCCTTTCCTTTGGCAAAATGGGTCAAAAGAAGGACTTGACAGGCTCAGAAAAGTCAAAAATAGTGAGATATCTTGCAGAGGGATGCAGCACTCTTAAAATTGCAAAGCTTCTGAAGCGTGATCATCGAACAATCAAGCGTTTCATTCAAAATAGTCAACAGGGTCGCAAGAAGCGTGTGGAAAAACCAAGGCGCAAAATAACTGCCCATGAACTGAGAAAAGTCAAGCGTGCAGCTGCCACGATGCCACTTGCCACCAGTTTGGCCATATTTCAGAGCTGCAACATCACTGGAGTGCCCAAAAGCACAAGGTGTGCAATACTCAGAGACATGGCCAAGGTAAGAAAGGCTGAAAGGCGACCACCACTGAACAAGACACACAAGCTGAAACGTCAAGACTGGGCCAAGAAATATCTCAAGACTGATTTTTCTAAGGTTTTATGGACTGATGAAATGAGAGTGAGTCTTGATGGGCCAGATGGATGGGCCCGTGGCTGGATTGGTAAAGGGCAGAGAGCTCCAGTGCGACTCAGGCGCCAGCAAGGTGGAGGTGGAGTACTAGTTTGGGCTGGTATCATCAAAGATGAGCTTGTGGGGCCTTTTC